AAGGGCGGGGGATGATGTACGTCGCCTCGGCGTGGTGGTCGGGGCCCAGCTCCGTGCACATGAACTCGTTCACCTTCGGATTGTCGATGACGATCGTCTGGCCGCGGATAGGATATACGGCCTTGTCTTCGAGTCCGATGAGGGACCTCGCACCTGCGGCATTGGGCCAGTCAACATCGCGTCATACAGGCGGACGGGGACAAGTCCGGAGGACGCACCGAGGCCCGTGGCGTTGATGAGCACGCCGTTCGCGCCTGCGAGGGCAGCCGCCTCTCCGTAGGAGGCGACCCTTTTGCGGACGATCTCTACACCGCGAGAGGCGAGTTCCTTCGTGATCCATGGGAGGTAGAAGGAGGGACAGACGGAGACGGTCTGGAAGCCAACGCCGCACTTGAGACCCACAGGGAGCTCGTGCGCACCCAGCACCCTGAACTGCAGGCGAGGTCAGCTTCATTGATACTTCCGAACATAGTAATGTGAAAGACAATAGCTCACCTCCCGGACAAGGTCCTTGAACCACATGGCGCTCACGTCCTTCCCTTCATCGTAGAAGACTCTCGATGGAGAAGCCTGTCAGATAGCGATAGGGTTCAGTACAGGTTGTCATATTCATGCCGAGACTGAGGTCCATTGCAGAATACTTACAATGGCACGTCCACTGGGAATCATATCCCAGAACTTATCACTTCATTCGTATGTCTGCGTGTCAGTGTTCATTCCTACGAGCAACTTGTTGTACTCACAATGTCGTCTTCTCCCATCGGTACGTCCGTTCGTTGTATTCTCCCATAGGGGACCAGTTCGCGCCCTACATGTTCGGCTCAGTATTGGTGCCGTGCGTATGGCGGCCGGCCAAGCACTGTTCCAGCGGGAGAAGCAGTACACCTCAATTCGTAATAGCGCGGATATATGTGCATCTCCCGGCCGGAACAGAGCAAGATCGAAGCTGTCAACTTTGTGAACGCAGGACGCACCGCCCATGGTGAAGCAAATCCCTGCGAATCCAGGTCTTCTGGCAAGTCCCTCGCCACGACCTTGATCTTGTACTTTGGGTTCTCGGAGAGCACGTGTGCGACTGTCAGGCCGATGACGCCGGCACCGAGCACGACGATTTGGGTCTGTCCTGCATCTGACGACATGTTCGACAGGGGGTTCCACCTACGAGATGTGATCTAAGGAGAGTTCGTGGTGGTGAGAGAGGCTGCGCAAGATGTTGGCTTATAAGTAAGTTTCCTCGAGTCATGCTGGTCTCGGGTACCTGCGTAAGATATGTTGATATGTTGTTGCATATCTTGAGAATTGGGGCCTAGAAGGGTTATCGATCAATCCGTCGCCTCTCCGTCGGCGATCGAGCCTCAGCTGTCTGTCGGAGTATAGACACGCGCTGTTCAATGAGCACATACTATGTAGAATAAGGGCACGGTCGTTGGTCATGTTCAACCATATGTTATAGTGACTGCCAACTAGCAACGAAACCAAGTAGGGTGGTCAATCATCCGACTGACAGGACATGCGGAACACAGCCACGGATATCCGCCCCCGCATATCGTGGCAGGTTCCGGGTGGCAGGGACCTCGAGGTACGCTCATCGGGATGAGGAGCGGAGTTGGCGAGGAGCGGTAAGTGGCCAAATGTTCCCGACGAGAAGGGCGGTACTTCGACGGTCTATCACCCTTCTGGCACTGGCACCGCAGGGAAGACGGAGCCAAATGCAGTCGCCTCTCGCCTAACGACAACGTTCCTCACTGCTCCAAAACAATTGCGGCGCGTCCCAGGACACATGTACTACTCAGGCCGGAGCGCGCGCGAAGTTACCCCATTCCATAGTACGCCCCAACTGTTGAATACCCGAAGCCAAGATGGACATCGAGCATCAGGACGCGCGATCTCTGTGGGATAAAAGCAGATAGCAGCCCTCACGAACACACCCTCTCCCTGTGCACCACACCCCACACCCCACACCCTAGTCTGTTGCCTCCAGCTGTCCAGCTTCCTCCCGCACCACCCTGTGTTTACATGCCGCGCGACGCGAGTCCACCTGAGCTTTCTTCTCTTGAGCGCACCGCACTCTGGGTACAGGCACAGACCGCGTTCGCACAACCCTCAGCAGAAACCTCTCCTCTGTCTCCCTCCAGGTCGTCAAAGACCACAGATTCCTCGTACCGCACCACCATGTCATCCGACGGCGTCTCTCTGAAACCGTCCCTGGCGCGTTCTTCGTCCATGCAGCAGTCCACACACACCCGTCCCCCAAGCGCCAAGAACAACCAACGTCCGCGCTATGATTCCCGCACGCGGAGATCGAGCCTACCATTCCCGCAGAGCCCGCCTGGCTCTGGGTACCCCATACCGTTGGAGGTGGCTGCCCCACACCCGCCAGAGAGCGAGGTCAGGAAGGCAAGTAACCCATCCGAGCTTGCGCTGCCGTTCGATGCGAAGAGTTGCCCACAGTCTCCCACGCCACGGCCATCCTTGAGGAAGCAGAGGCGACCTTCACTCATCGAGCAAATCATTTCCATTGGTTCACCTGGCCAGCGGCGACGAGAAGAGCCTGTATCCAAGAAAGCATAGACAGGGCAGTCGAGCAGACCACTTGACCTCTGCCAGGCGCGGAGGGCATAGGGCGTGTATCTTCCACGACGATCGGCGAGTAGAGACATGAGCCTTGCCGCAGTTACGCAGCACCGTGAAGACATGGGCAGTCCGTATGTACGAATTCCGAGAAGTCGATCACCTTGTATGAGTATCTGCAGTTACAGTCAGTAGCGCTTGTGACTTCCGCATGGCACTCAGTAATCGTCATTTTTACCAAGCTCCGAGCATCAGAGCGCCATATCTTTGAAGACCAGACTTGCCGGACAGGGGAGAACATAGTAATAGAGGTCGAAAGAGCAGTGGCGCGCAAGCGACGTTGACCGTCAAGTACGGCTTAAATTCGGCAGATCTGGCGCTTAGTGCGTTACTCTACCATCTACCATGTCTCGAGACTCGCAGCTGCCGGCTTTAGTATAAGATACGACGACTCTATGTCTCACACACGGAAATACTTTGCTGTTGCGTCATTGCTAAGTGCAAATGCCATTGTGGCTAGAGGTGAGCGGCGCGTCAGAACGGTCTGCTGACATGGTCTGCAAGCATCCTCGTGGTAGCCGCGCTCAAAGGATAATGAGGGAAAGTATCTCTCCTGCCACTGCCACCTTATGCATACAGTACCAGCTTAGATGCGCCTATACCGAACGGAGGGGCAAAGCCTCTGGGGCCCGCCTCTCGACAAAGCTGAGCGTGGCCAAAGCGGTACAAAGAGCTTATGCCATTATGTCACAGCTATACTCTCAATGTCGACATTGTGAGTACGCCAATTCTGGGGTTCTATCGCTATGATCTGGTGTCCGGAACTGTTCGGCACACTTGGTTATCTTGTGGGTTGCATTCAGGATCCGCAATCCGAGTCCTCCGTTCTTCCACATCATTGGAGTCGCATGTCTATTCACCAGACAGTCTATCTACTAAGATGAATCTGCTGGGACACAGTCTTCGCATTTCCAACAGCCAAAGCGATACAGGCCGGTACCAACGTGCCGGCCACAAGGCCACCACACCTGGCTCTCGATAAAAGCACGCTGCGAGGATCATACAGGATCTCGACGTTCCGTCCACTCGCACCCATCGCAACACCGCTCGTATCTTTCTCCTTCACCTCCCACCTTCTCCGCTTCCTTGCATCCAATCTGGTATTGGTCGTATACCTTTCTCTCATTCCCAACCCCCCACCACTTGCCTAGCATATGGCTCCCGAGGTCCGCTTCAACACGTTCGGCATCCCCTATCTCGTCGAGTTCGCCAATGTCAAGTTCCGATCGCGCTCTCGCTCGGGGTCGGCCTCCAGCACCAACCTCTCCTCAGATACCCGCTCACTGAACTCCAGTTTGCACAAGCCGACGTTCGAGCGCCGGCCCTCGCGCCTACGCCCCTCTCCGAGCATAGCGACATTCGACTCTGACTGGACCTTCGCCACCGCGTCCTCCGAGACACTCGCCGGTCCGAGCGTCCAGAAGGCATCTTCTTCCCCCACATCGTTGGCGAAGTCGAAGCCTTTGCCCGAGATCACGATCGAGAGCGAGATCGAGACGGAGGGACAGGGCCTCCTCATCCGTTTCGCATCGCAGCTTGCGCACCCCCCTCGCAAGCTCTCGCACAACCGGCTCGCGCGGCTCAAGTACCGGATCGCAAAGGCTGTCATGGCTGCGGGGATGGACTCATCTCCGGCTGGAGAGCGCGAGAACCCCATGGACGCGAGAGCGGAGGCAGCGAAGGAGGCGTACCGCGCGTCGCTGTGCAGCATCCGGTCCGAGGAGGTCGAGACGCAAGGTATGCCGGCCTCGCTGTTCCGTGGGACTTACGGGCAGGTCATGACTGCGCTAAAGGCGGCAGGTCTGACCACGACCCCGTGTAATGAGTCCGGTGTGGAAGACGGTGCGTGGCCCCTCGTCCTGTTCTTGTCTAAGCGACTCATTTACAAGCCCCTTATTACTGCAGCTACTCGTCTTGGCGCGCTCTTTGTTGCTCATCAGAATCCGTATGGCGGAGTCGAGTTCACGAAGCTCACATTATGGGCATAGGCTTGCTGGAACTGGTGGGTTCAATCTTGTATAAGCTGGTCAATTTGACTCACCACTGCGTGCGCAGGCCTTATCGACTATTTACATGATATTTATGTTCATGAAGAGGAGGAAGACAGTATGAGACCATCGTGTCCTCGCGCTGGTGGCAATTGATTTGTCGGCTGGTCTTGGTGAGGACTTACTCATTATCACACGCTCGTTATGCGAACACATGGCCTTCTTGCATTCACGAATGATGTAACACGTTGTTGAACGGCGTCAGGTAGAATTATCTTTGTATGATAAGTAGGAAGACTTGAAGTACGTTGAAGCGGCCTGGAGAATGCGTGGACAATGAAGGGTAACAACCATAGCTTTGCATTTCGGGGTAGCTAACGTGAACCCTTGGCACAGTGGTAGCGCGTGAGATTCCAGCTTGGGAAATCCTCAAGGTCGTCCGTTCAATCCGGGCAGGGTTCAACTTTTTGTCTTCGTGAGTCAAACCCAGCATAGATAGTGCCGTTGTTTTGTGTGTTGCCTTGCTCGTGTCAGGGCACTACGCATCGTGTTGAAATTGCTGTACCAGTCGGAAATATTTCGTAGCCTCTGTACAGATCCGAAACACGGATACATGCATGGTGCTCCCACGAACATGCCCTTGAACACAGCAGTTCACTAGGCTACCTATGGCGAAACCGCGCTTCGCCAATCTATTACAACGTCCGTCAAGTCCATGGTCTCGGGAAGAGCATCCCACTGCGCTTCGAAGAGCTTCCGTGCTTCGTCTGCGATGCGATCGGCGCAAGCCTCGCAAATTCTTGCTGCATGTCTTGCATCCTTCGCGAGCAGGTCACTAGTCATGGCGGCAGCAAACACGTTTCGAGGCGCCCTCAACGGCTTGTCCAGTGCGAAGCTCCGTGTGGTATCGATGAAACGCGCGCAACGGTCCCACTCGGTACAGCCAGGAGGGCTGTTAGGCCGCCCGCGCCAGGGCTGGGCCCAGAAGTGAGCAAGCTTGAGGTGGTACGTGTCCCGTGCCTCCAGGCATCGGCGTAGGTCCTCCCTAGACAACTGCTCCAACGTTCCATCGGCACGTCGCACGCCATCGAGGAGGTCTGTTATCGGGAGCAAGCAGCACAGGAACAGCACCGTCGGCAGCAGGTTGCGTTGCTCTGTGGTGCGAAATAGGTTGGCTACTTCGATGGGGATGTACAGATTACGCAGGGATTTCGCGGAACGACCACCGGTGGTCCAAAACGTCCGCCAGACCTCGTAGTCGTCGGTGTATATGACTCGGAGCCGCTGCATCGCAGCGGAAAAGACAGAGCTGAGCTCGTATTTGTGTCCTAGGCGTGCGAGCGACGCGCACATGCTGTACTTCTCCACTTCGGCCACGGATTCCATGTAGCTGAAGAGCGAGTATAAGTTTCGGTCCACTGTACGGCGACGCGGTCCCGGCAAACTCACCCCAGCCCATCATACAGTGCGTGCAGCAAGTGCTTGAAGTCGTGCGGTGAATCAGTGACTCGCACCACGGGACAGGTGTCGATAACCTCTTCGTATGCGCCGCCGGCAGGTCGAGGGAGCGTGAAGAGCCCGCTGAAGGTTTCGGAGTGGCGGGATAAGACCCCTCGGTGGACACGGAAAGCGGTCTGCTGTGCGATGACGACGATGTTCCCGTCTTCAAACCAAAAGCTCTCGTCCCGTTGTGGCTCCGTATCTTCGTCACTGGTGTCAACGGTCCTCGGACGCTTCGCAGGAGGGCTCGGAGAGGTCATGGTGGCCCGGTGAACTTGGAAGAGACTGGCGCTACGCGGTACATGGTATTACCGGCTTTTACCGGATACTTACTCGAGTCGATACTAGCTTACACTTGTAGAGTACGGCTCTCACAACAGACACGTTCGAGGACGGTCACACACACGAAGCGAGAGTCGAGTGATAGATATTGATAATGGAAACCGAACGAGATGTACGTGGATGAGTAAATAAGACGAGGTAGGTGGATGTATGCGATGCGAGAAGATGAGGAATGCTTGAGTTATGTAGAGGAAGATGACAAAGGAGCCATTATATACTAGACGAGCGTAAGTGTAGAAGGTGGGCTTAGCTGGAGCAAAGGAACATAACGAGCTACAGCACGACATCGTACGAGGGTAGCGCATAACAAGGGCATGAGTATTTGGGTGGAACATACGAAAAGGCGACGAAAGGTGACTAAGGTGGGTAGCGGCGAGAATGTGATGTGGACCGATACTCGAGTGCAAACGGAATGATACACGGCGCGGCGCATAATACGTGTATGGAGTGTCCGCGCAAACGTGTTTGCATTACATACATACAGATTGATCTGCAGCATCGGGATCAGGGGTGGGGTATAAGGTACATCGTATGATGAAGACGTACAGAATAGCGTTTTTTTCATCACTAGTGCACAATGGTACCGTGAGAGAAGCTCAGTAGTAATAGCGCGTCCTCCATCTTCACACCACTGTCGGGTTCCGCCTTAGTTGACAAGACAATCTTCTCGTTCTCGTACTGGGCGTACTCTAAGGGATACCGCTGTATGGACGCCTTGGTCTCACGTGCATGCGGGTGTGCGAGAGGGAGGGCCAGGCTAGATGTCGAGGCGACAGCGGAAGGTGGGGGTGACGACTCGGGAGAGGGCGTAACAGCTTCAGGGTAATCCTCGTCGCTGCCGACGTCCGACTGAGAACGAGCGAGCGGGACACGTGTGTACAACGGCTGTGGCTGCCGGACCGTCTCCTCTGTCTCGATCTTGACAAACTCGATGCCGGGAGTCGACGAGGTGCTGGGAGTCGCGGTCCGTGTAAGGCTAGTGTGCGTGCTCACATCGTCGTCGGCGATGTCCATGGACTCGGTGTCTTCGTCCATCTCGCCATCATCACCGCTTGCGCTTCCGCTCTGACGAGCACGCTTCCTGTCGGACTGGCGCAAGTTGCGGAACCAGTTCGTCACCTTGCCCAAGTCCATCCCGATCTCCGCAGCGAGGCGTTGGCGGTCCTCGATCGAGGGAGTCTTGGTACGGTTGAAGAGCTTCTTGAGCGCGTCCAGCTGCCATGGCTCTGGACGTGTCCGACGGGGCCGGCGGTGAGTAGCATCGAGAGCGCCGGCAGGGTGAACTGGATATGGGGAGGCGCGGGGGGACGAAGGTCGGCTGCTGCCGCTCGGGGCGAGACTGGGCGAACGGCGGGCGCGAGGAGGATGAAGGAGGGCTGATAATGACGGATGCGATGTCGGTGGAGGAACAGCGAGGGACGGGTGGAGGGCGCTGGAGGACGGCGGGATGGCGAAGGGCGAGTACGCGCGAGACTGGGCGGCGTTCGCGGCGGCGGTGGCAGCCTTGGCAGCAGCGGCCTCTTCACGCTTCTTGGCGATGCTGCGTTGGTTCTGGAACCAGTTGGTAACACTCTGATAGCGCCTGGATGATTGGGTGGATGGAAGTTGGGTGAGTTCGTGATTTTGTGAGCGTGATTTGTCCGACGCGGAAGCCGGAAGCGGTGTCGAGATGGAAGCGCCGAAGAAGGAAAGCGAAACAAGGAAGATCAGATTTCAAATTGCCATATGCGGAATCGTATGACAACGGGACTGGGACAGGACTTACATTCCGATCTTGACCCCGAGTGCTTCGCGCTCTTCCTTGGTCGGATGCGGCTTAAGTTCATAGAATTTTTTCAGCTCCTCCGTTTGGTCCTGCGTCGGACGGCTTCGGGCCTTGCGTGGCATGGATGATTCGGCGTCGAAGAGGTGTTGCTGCTGGGGATCCCCCGCGTAGAAGAGCGTGTGTTGCGGTGGCGGGTGTACCGAATGTGCGGACAAAGGGTGGTACGGCTCGTCGTCAGAGATGAGCTCGTCGTATTCGTGCTGATGCGGGGAAAGCGATGACGATGGGGGAGCGGAGACGGACGCAATGAGCGCAGATATAGGCGGCAGCTCGCATTGAGTGAGCGGGGCTTTGTGCCGCTTCTTTGAGGAGGCACGTTTATTCTGAAACCAAGAGTTGACCGTCTTTGTCTCCCTGCGTGCGTTCGGGCGCGGGTGAGTGGCTGTCGACAATGGAGGGACAACGGGGCGGGACGAGAGTGGGAAACGTTACGTACATTCCAAGTCGCTCAGCTAACGCAGTCCTCTCCTCGAGTGACGGGTGCTCGGTCTTGTCGTAGAGCTCATTGAGTGCAGCGAGTTGTACAGGGGAATGGCGGTGACGGGGCTTCTTGGGCTGTTCCTGCTTGGGATCCTTGAGGGGGAGCTTGGAGGATGCGGCCGGGGGCTGGTCCCAGTGGGCGAGGGAGGGATGCATGGCGCGGGGGGGCAGAAAGCCAGGGACGGGAGCGGATAGAGATGGCGGGAGGAGGGAAGGGGCAATAGGGGAGGGGAGGGCTTAATGGAAAATGGAGATGCTTATAGAAGATGTGAGGAGCATTTGGGCGACATGTCTCACGGCTAATGGATGCTCTCTGAATCCGTCATCACTCTGCAAATGGCCGACGTCGGCCGGCTGCTGTAGCCTCTATGATCGGCCCCTGCCCTCTTATACTCGAATCTTTGGCACTGCCACTCCTCCGTCCAGACTCCGTCCCTCGACTCGACAGTGGAGAGCGAGCTCGCTGCTGCCCCCCGCGCACGCACACGCACACGCCAGAGCTGGGAGGGACCAGCATCGGGGGGACGCGGCGGTGGGTAATTGGCAGTTGATATGGCTCGGTAGGGGAAACGCAGGACTGCTGTGCCTGTGAGTTCATGCTTGACCTCGACATCCACGTGTGAAAGATCATGATGACTACCAACTCGGTATTATCGGCCATTTATGGGCGCCTATATATAGCAGTTTTACATGATCCCCCGTCCGCGCTCCAGAACCCGGCATCCATCCCCACAAGCATGCACGCCGTGTCTGTGCATGCCAGCACGCTCTCCCGGTCGCCCCCGACGCACCTTCACGGTGCACAGATGCCCGGAAGGCAGCAGCAGCACAGGGCCAAATCCGCAGCGGCGGTAGCTGCTATAGATCTCGCGATCTGATGAGGTGTATTATGCACGGATGAATGACGGTTAAAGCGCGTCATCCAATCCCGGCCGTCCACTGGTCGAGAACGGGCCCCACAACGCCTGATCACGCTTTCGCATCGTCGTCCTATCTCGCCCCCGTCCGTTGCCACTCGCCCGTCTTCTGCGTTCTCATGTCCTCCACCCTAACGCCTCTCCAATCCCATGCTTCCCGTCCAAATTCCATCCATCAGTTATCCCGATTCCCAGTCCACTTCCACACGTCAATCAGACTTCCCGAGCTCCTCGCCCGGCTGTGTACATGTCACTGCGCATGTCGGATTATACTTACACATACTGTACGTTACTAGATCCGCTCGCCGTGATTAGTTATCCTGGAACCGTACTCCCTGCCTACCCGTGCCACCCCAGCCGGGTGACCGCCGCGGCGACTTCAACTTTCCGACTCTCCC